ACAACAGCAGCTATGCTGGCTGGTACCAGAAGAAGGTCCCTGGCAGCGCCCCTGTCACTGTGATCTACAAGGACGACCAGAGACCCTCGGACATCCCTTCACGATTCTCCGGATCCGTATCTGGCTCCACGGGCACGTTAACCATCACTGGGGTCCAAGCCGAGGACGAGGCTGTCTATTACTTCGGTAGTGAAGGCAGCAGTGCTGATCACATGGTGACACCAAGCCAAAGGCAAGCAAGACCTTGAGTGCGAAAGTGGTCGGTTTGATCTCCTGCCTCTGTGCCCAGCAGGGGCATCTTGCGAGCTTTGGGATTTTTCATTTTCCATGCCGCTGCCCTTGCCCATGTACCCTGTTTCTCAGGGCTGTTAGTATGTCCCCAGTTATATGGCTTTGGTGCTGGAGAGGCCCTGGCTGCGCTAGTTCTGCTGCCCAATGTCCATGTGAGGAGCAGAAAAGCCTGCAACAGTGTTAGGAGTTGGAGCCTACGGAGCTGCCTGGGAAAAGTTTGGAAGCATTTTTACAACCTTAGGCTGAGGCTTACCAGGGGCCCCATGCCATTGCAGCTGACCTGTGGGCATGGGGCTGGGTGCATGGGCATTTGCCAGGCTGGGGGAGCCTCTGGCACTGTGGCTGGGAAGGGAGAGCTTCTCTCTCAACCCCTTGCTCTCCCATGGGTCTGGCTCAGCCACCTGCAGTGTCCACGTCCCTTGGACAAACCACCTAGATGTGCTCTGGGAGTACCAATGGTGTTTATGGCTGGTACCAGTAGAAGACAACTGGCAGCGCCCCTGTCATAGAATCATAGAATGGTAAGGGTTGGAAGGGACCTTAAAGATCCCCCTTTTCCTATCACTACACACCCTTGTGAAAAGTCCCTCTCCATCCTTCCCGTAGGCCCCTTCAGGCACTGGCAGGCTGCTATAATGTCACCCCGGAGCCTTCTCTTCTCCAGGCTGAACAGGCCCAGCTCCCTCAGCCCGTCCTTGTAGGAGACGTGCTCCAGCCCTCCGATCATCTTTGTGGCCCTCCTCTGGACCCGCTCCAGCACATCCATGTCCTTCTCATGTTGGGGGCTCCAGAGCTGGATGTAGTACTTCAGGTGGGGTCTCACAAGAGTGGAGTAAAGGGGCAGAATCACCTCCCTCGACCTGCTGGCCACACTTCTCTTTATGCAGCCCAAGATATGGTTGGCTTTCTGGGCTGCAAGCGCACATTGCCGGCTCATGCTGAGCTTCTACTCCACTGGTACCCCCAAGTCCTTCTCCTCAGGGCTGCTCTCGAGCCACTCTCCGCCCAGCCTGTGTTTGTGTTTTGGATTGCCCCAACCCACATGCAGGACGTTGCACTTGGCCTTGTTGAACTTCATGCGGTTCACGCAGGCCCACCTCTCCAGCCTGGTGAACCTGGGAGAAACCGCCCAGATCACCTGCTTCGGGCTTAGCAGCGGCTATGCTGTTGGCTGGCACCAGCAGAAGGTCCCTGGCAGTGCCCCTGTCCCTGTGATCTGTCGCAGCACCAGTAGGTCCTCGGACATCTCTTCAGGATTCTCCAGATCTGGCACCATGGCCACCTTAACCATCACTGGGGTCCAAGCCAAGGACAAGGCTCTCTATTACTGTGGTGGCCGTGACAGCAGCAGTTATGATCCCATGGTGACAGAGAGCAGTGGGGAGCTGGTACAGAAACATCCTACCATCACAGGGACCAGTTAGGAGTCTCTGCTGTCCCACCATTGAGGGAGGGCTGTGCTTGTGGGGCACTGGCTGAGCCCCGACTTCTCCCCTCTTTCCTCTTCCTCTGCAGATTCCCTGGTCCAGGCAGTGCGGACTCAGCTGCCCTTGGTGTCAGTGAACTGTGATTAAGCCATCCAGATCCCCTGCTCCAGCAGCAGCTATGGCTGGTTCCAGCAGAAGGTCCCTGGCAGTGCCCCTGTCACTGTCATCTACAATGACAACTACAGACCCTCAGACATCCCTTCACGATTCTCCGGATCCACATCTGGCACCACGGCCACGTTAACCATCACTGGGGTTCAAGCCGAGGATGAGGCTGTCTATTACTGTGGTGGCTGGGGGGGCCAAAAGTCTGATCGGGGTGATGGAGGCACTGAGTACCGTGGAAGCAAGACACAGACACTGGCATTGAAGAGGCAGGTTTTCAGGCCTTCTGCCTCTTGGCCAAGCAGAGTTGTCCCTGTGGGGCAGATGCCAGTTCCTGTCCTCTCTGCATGGCCATGGCTGTGAATATCATCCCTTTCGTGTCTTAGAGCACTGGAGGTGACTCAATGGCTGTGGAGCATTGTCCCTGTCCCTACAAAATTCAGTGTCACCATGTCATCCATGACACTGCCTCTCTCTACTGAGCACCGTGTCCTCCCACTGCTGCCAGAGCTGCCTCTGTGTTGGGATGCATTGGAGTGGGCTCTGCTGCCCAGATTTTCCGGTGACCATGTCCAGGTCTGGTCTCCACAACTGTGGTGTTCCCTGTCCTGCAGCCCGGGGAGGGCACCAGCCAACCTTCTTCCTCTCCTGTCTCTCCTCTCCCTCTGTGGTCTCTAGGCAGCACCTACTCAGCCCCCGTGGTATACGTGTCCCCAAGAGTAAACACCTGGATCTCCTGCTCCAGGACTAACAACTACTATGGCTGGTTCCAGAAGAAGGTCCCTGGCAGTGCCCCTGTGACTGTGAAATATACTCATGACAAGAGACCCTCGAACATCTCTATATGGGATTCTCCAGATCCACATCTGGCACCACGGGCACGTTAACCATCACTGGGGTCCAAGCCGAGGACGAGGCTGTCTATTACTATGGCAGCTGGGACAGCAGCAGTGGTGCTGTTCTAGTGACACACAGAAGTGGGAAAGTGAGCTGCAAAGCAGCCAAAAATGGACGTTTTCTGTGAATGTCCTCCTGTTTGTACCATGCCATGCAGGAGGTGACCCTGGGGCTGTGCCTGTCCCGACAAAAGGCCTGGCCAAGCAGAGTTGTGGCTGTGGGACTGAGGCAGGTTGCTGTGTCCTCTGTATGGCAATGGCTGTGAATGTCCTCCCTTTTGTGTCTCAGAGCACTGGTGATGACTTGTTGGCTGTGGACCATTGTCCCTGTCCCTACAAAATTCCCACTGTGGCCTTGTCTGCCACTCCACTCCCTCTTGCTGCTGATGACCATGTCCTCCTGCTGATGCCACAGCTGCCTCTGTGCTGGGATGCATTGGGCTGCACTTTGCTGCCCAGAGGTGTATGTGACCATCTCCGGGTCTTTTCTCCCTCCACCCGTGGCATTCTGTGCCCGGCAAGATGATGGGGCAGGTCCTCCTGGAAACTGTGCTAAGGCACATGGAAAATAAGGAAGTGATTGGTAACAGCCAACATGGTTTCACTAAGGGCAGATCGTGTCTGAGAAATTTGGTGGCCTTCTACGAGTGGGTAACTGCCTTGGTGGATAAGGGCAGAGCAACAGATGTCCTCTACCTGGACTTGTGCAAAGCATTGACACTGTCCCGCATGACATCCTTGTCTCTGAATTGGAGATTCTTGTCTCGGAATTGGAGAGACAATGATGTGGTGGATGGATCACTCGGTGCATCAGGAAATGTCTGGATGTTCGCACTCAGAGAGTTGTGGTCAATGGCTCAATGGCCAAGCGGAGACCAGTGACGGGTGGTGTTCCTCAGGTGTCGGTGCTGTTGTACATCCTTGTCGGTGACATGGACAGTGGGACTGAGTGCACCCTCAGCAAGTTTGCCGATGACACCAAGGTGTGTGATGCGGTTGAATTTTGAAAGAAATTCTTTACTGTGAGGGTGGTGAGGCACTGGAACAGGTTGCCCAGAGAAGCTGTGGCTGCCCCCTTCCTGGAAGTGTTCAAGGCCAGGTTGGATGCGGCTTTGAGCAGCCTGGTCTGGTGGAAGGTATCCCTGCCCATGGGCAAGGGGGTTGGAACTAGATGGTCTGTAAGGTCCCTTCCAACCCAAATATTCTCTGCCCAGCCTGGACAGAGCTGTGGTTCTGGGGCACTGGCTGACCCCCATCTTCTCTCCTCTCACTCTCCAGGCTCCCTTGTCCAGGCAGCGCTGACTCAGCCGCCCTCAGTGTCAGCGAACCTGGGAGAAACTGTCCGGATCACCTGCTCCGGGGTTGACAGCAGCATCAGCAATGATGCCGGCTGGTACCAGCTGAAGACACCTGGCAGTGCCCCTGTCACTGTGATCTATGAGAGCAGCAACAGACCCTCAGGCATCCCTTCACGATTCTCCGGATCCAGGTCTGACTCCACGGGCACATTAACCATCGCTGGGGTCCAAGCCAAGGTCACAGCTATTACTGTGGTGGCAAGGACAGCAGCAGTGGTGCTGTTATAGCGACACAGAGATGTGGAAGTGAGGAATTACAAATGGAGGTTTTCTGCCCTTTTCCCTCATGGCTCAGCAGGGCTGTCGTGCTGGGGCAGGTTCGTGTCCCTGCCCAAGGAAGTTACTGTGCGTGTTCTCCAACTGTACCATGATGTGCAGAGGTGACTGTGAGGCCAGGGGCAATTTGTGTCTGTCCCTGCAAATGCCATGGCATTTCCTTGTCCCCAGCCTCACTGCCTCTTGCTCCTGGCAGCCCCATGCTCCTTTTGCTGCTGGAGTAACCTTTCTGCTGGGATGCTCTGTCCTGGGCAGGGGTCTGCTTCCCCATAATGTGCCCATAGCATGATGGGTCCCTTCTCCATCTCAGGCACTCCCTGTCCGTGCTTCTGCCAGCTCTCCACCCAAGGACCATGGGAGTCTGACCTTGTGCTCGGTGTGTGTTTCTCAGGGTCCCTATGTGGCGTCAGGCCCTTCTGGAAAAGGAGTCCTGTCCCCATCCCACTGCCTCTCCCTCTCTAGTCTCTTGTCAGTGCCAGCTCAGCCCCCGTGATGTATGTGTCCCCAAGAGTAAACACCTGGATCTCCTGCTCCAGAATTAACTACAAAGGCTGGCACCAGCAGTGGACCATTGTCCCTGTCCCTACAAAATTCCCACTGTGGCCTTGTCTGCCACTCCACTCCCTCTTGCTGCTGATGACCATGTCCTCCTGCTGATGCCACAGCTGCCTCTGTGCTGGGATGCATTGGGCTGCACTTTGCTGCCCAGAGGTGTATGTGACCATCTCCGGGTCTTTTCTCCCTCCACCCGTGGCATTCTGTGCCCGGCAAGATGATGGGGCAGGTCCTCCTGGAAACTGTGCTAAGGCACATGGAAAATAAGGAAGTGATTGGTAACAGCCAACATGGTTTCACTAAGGGCAGATCGTGTCTGAGAAATTTGGTGGCCTTCTACGAGTGGGTAACTGCCTTGGTGGATAAGGGCAGAGCAACAGATGTCCTCTACCTGGACTTGTGCAAAGCATTTGACACTGTCCCACATGACATCCTTGTCTCTGAATTGGAGAGACAATGATGTGGTGGATGGATCACTCGGTGCATCAGGAAATGTCTGGATGTTCGCACTCAGAGAGTTGTGGTCAATGGCTCAATGGCCAAGCGGAGACCAGTGACGGGTGGTGTTCCTCAGGTGTCGGTGCTGTTGTACATCCTTGTCGGTGACATGGACAGTGGGACTGAGTGCACCCTCAGCAAGTTTGCCGATGACACCAAGGTGTGTGATGCGGTTGAATTTTGAAAGAAATTCTTTACTGTGAGGGTGGTGAGGCACTGGAACAGGTTGCCCAGAGAAGCTGTGGCTGCCCCCTTCCTGGAAGTGTTCAAGGCCAGGTTGGATGTGGCTTTGAGCAGCCTGGTCTGGTGGAAGGTATCCCTGCCCATGGGCAAGGGGGTTGGAACTAGATGGTCTGTAAGGTCCCTTCCACCCCAACT